AAGAAGTCTCGCTACAACGACAGCAATCACCACTGCGGCACCAAAAGACTCATTTGGACAAGGTGCCGAGTCACACAGGAACAAAGCACCACAATTTAGCCAGTGGACAGAAGAGATCTTCGAGTACACAAAAGCACCGAATGAAAAGCTACCGGGTGACAGCGTCTATCGCCATATGCTGATATCGGGAAAATTGCCGGATCGACTTCAGTGAGGTATCCACCACCCAGCAACGTGCAGACTGAGCACTAGCAACAATTAGAGCATAAACTCTTGTGGTTGACTCTAACACCGAGGTCAAAGGTCATTACAAATTCTGAAATAAGGATTTTATTTTGACCACCCAAATCTATTTGTGCCAGCAAAGAGTAATAGGTATGCAATTCAGAGAATAATCCCCTTTAGAACCGACAGATAGAAAAAGAAGCGCTTCACCAGACTAGCATATTCCGCGAGTATGCGTACTAAAGAATACATATACGTACTATTACGAGATGTAAGACGAGACTGCCGTCCATGTGATCTTGGATCACTGGAGAGGCTCGTTTTATTCAATGATACATTGGACAGAGAGGAGAAAATCGCACGACAACGTATATGTGATTACAGAGGGTTAATGAGTGACCAAAAAAAAAAAAAAAAAAAAAAAANAAAAAAAAAAAAAAAAAAAAAAAAAAAAACAAGGTGGCAAGATATACGCGTGATAAACGGGAAGTGTGCAAAAGTTTTAAGATCATTAGCTGCCGTCATGAACTGGTTTGAAATTTGTTGGAAAATAATCCTTAAGCTTAGCAGAGACAATATTAACTCATGGTATCTTATTTAACTTTCGTGTACTACGACCAAAGCTTTGAGATTCGTTCCTAAGTAGTTGATTGCGGGCGTTTGCACACTCGACCCAAACCTGAATTTACGATTATCATTGCTCAACTTCATAGCCTTGTAATTTTGAACCCAACCCAGAAAATAAAGAAACTTCTGGATCAAGCATTGGAAACAACTAGCCTTAACATTTTTGATGAAATTAACTCGCATTTGTGTCACGTGGAGAGAAAAACCATGAAAATCTCCTACATTTTGCTTGACTGTAGAGGGCTGCTTTGTCTGTCTTGGGTGTTCAACTTAATGTTACATATTGTTTCGCTGCAAAAGGTTCTGAAAAAGGTTCTTTCTTAGCGTGTTTCAAATTATAAATGTTACCGTGCATGACCGAAATCAAGAAAATGTCGACTTTCATCGGTGAATGTCAACAATCACATAGTCGATTTCATGTTAATTTATTCGTTGATTATATTATATTTATTCGATATTCTAATATCTGCTGAGGATAGATTAGGAGAAACATCAGTGTTCGGTGTACCAGTTAAATGCATACTGGGCAGTGACACTTGACCTTAAAGCAACATTGATGCAGGGTATACTGGGCAAATGTATACAAGGCAGTGGCACTGAACCTTAAAAATTTATCAGTGTAGGGTATACTGGGCAGTGGCTCTTAACTATACCTAGTATATTTCGGACATTTACCGAAGCGACTAGGTGATTATCGACATTCACCGGTGGAAATTAACAGCCACCAACTTTGGTCACTCATGGTAATAAATATAATTAATGAATGAATAAATCATAATTTGTTATTGAAAATCGTTAAATATTTTTGCTTCGAAAATTTTAAAACTGTTTTAAAACAGTTTTAGTCCTTTAAAGACCTTCCCAAAAGCATGAATGTAACCTTTAATTTAAATACTCTACCGAAATATTTTAAGTTTAGTTTTGAAGAGACGACTATCTTCACAATAAAATAGGAAAAAAAAATCTTTACAGTGTAAATAAGTCAAATTCGAAGTAATAACAATTAATAATAATTTCTCCACTTAATGATAAATTTGCCAGAAACAATTGGACGTTTATTTGAATGGAAATATATCAATTTAAATATTCTTTTATGAAATAATAAAAAATAACGTGTACAAAAATATGTATTTAAAAAAACAAGTGAGCACTTTCTTCGTTAATGTTAGGCACATATTAAAAATAAATAAAGAAAAAAGAAAATAAAAAAAAATAATAAAAAAAAACAAGCGTGTCACCAAAACGTTTTTTTATTTTTATTTTGTCCGGGAAATTCCTATGCACTTTCTATGAATATCACTTTTCAAACTTAATCAATCCTTTGAAAATTACGTCATGAATTATTTCTTACACTTGCACTTCCAGTGATATCTGAAATCTCTACCAGATGGCTCTTCTATCTCGTGCAGGGCCACACGAAGTGTTGTCGGCCTTTCGAAATAACATTTTCTCTTCCCCATTGTGTGATCAGCAACTGCGAGCAAACACACTTTGATTGCGGAGAAAAGGAGCAGAATTTCTAGCAGAAGAGATGGAATGCCATTGCTTTTCCAGCGCTCAGGACGTACAGCATCGATTGGGGCGGGAGGTCCCACGGCGGCGCATCCTGCGCAAGGGCCGGGGTCCTAAAGGTCAAGGGGTAAAATCGTTCCGTTACGAATTTGTTTCGGGGTTTTACACTGCATCATTCTTTGCTTTTATCTTTTATGAAGTGCGGTAACGAAAAGAAAGAACAAAAAAGGAAAATCAGTCGTTCTTTATTTTTGTTTCATATTTTTGAGAACGGCAGCTATTTTTTTCGAGATAAAATGGAATTTTATTTTGTTGTATATTTTGAGATTTGATGTTGAATAATTTTGAATTAAAGATGCTGTGAATGAATGCTATTTATGTTCATGAAAGCTATTTATGTTAAATCTATTTCGAACAGCATTAAACATTCGGTGCACTAATAAAGAGATTACTATAGTTATTATTTTAATTTTTATTTACATATGATAACAGAAAGTAATATAGAAAATATTCCGAATTTACGTGAAATAATATTTTCGAAACATATTTGTGCATTCTGTTTCCAGAAAAAAAATTTCAGATGTGGATTTCAAGGTGTACTATTTCAACTTTTCAAAATTCAACTTTTTGAAATCCTTAAAAAAACATCTAGAAGCACTATCTCATAAATTATTGCTATAGTTGACTTTCATTTTTGCTATTTTAAAATTATAAAAATTAATACAATCTAATCTCATTGTACACACAAATTGATTTCTCACATTAAAAGAATGATTATATATAAAAAGCTTTATTCTAATTCGTTTCCAATATGCTAATTTAAGTCGATCACTGGTCTAGTGGTTACTGTACTGGACTACGGGGCCAGTGGTCGTGGGTTCGAATCCCACTGTAGGTATGGATGTAACTTTTTCTCTCCTTCTCTGTCCTTTCTTCAGTGTGACGGTGTGAATGCAACCAGCCCTATAAACGGGTTTGTGGTTGTATGAAGTTTGCGACGCTACTCCACCGCCGTTGCTTAGCCACAGGTGCCCACTGAATAACGATAAGAGAGTAGCAATTCTGGCATTTTTGAAGCCAATGGGAAATAGGCCAATTTCATGTCAGCATAAGACACGCAATGTTTAGTGACCCAATCGAACCTAATGCTCTTGCAACGTCATATAGTTGTTTCCTTTTCAAGGTCAAATGTTTTCCTTATTTATCTAAATATGTCGTCAAGTCTAGGATTCGAGTAATACTATGAAACTAGACCTTTTTTTAAGCAATTCTGTGATATATATATATCGTAAAAAAATGGCAGTAATTAAATTTTTGTCAGATGTGCTTAAAAGCTTTTTTATTGTTTTGAAAGCGCATTTGTATAATTTGATAACGAAATAAAACGGCAGTGGTGGAAGATTATTTGAATCTTATGCTGCAATGTCTTTTCTCAACTTGCAACGATGTATAGTTCACTTTCAGATTATTTTTACTGTCAAACAGAGGAAACTAAAGATAAAAATAATCTAAAAAATATAACAATGCACGTATTACATTAGAGTTGAACTAATTCGAAGGAGGTTTTATTGTTTCCTTCCAACATGCAGGTACCTGACAAAGTTTTCTTCCTTTCTCAGTTGGACATCAAAGTACAGGGATAAAAATTTAATATTTAAAGTTCGTTGCATGGTAAGGCAACGTTTGTTCCCGTTTTATAACAAGAAATTCCATTTATAACAGAATAACTTCCATACAATTTCTTTATCATAAAGAAAAATCAAAGTCGTAAAATAAATATAGAATTAAAAATGTTTTGTAAGGTCACTCAGTTTTATTTCCTTCTATTTTCATGAGTGCGGTTACAAAACAAGAGTACCAATTTAAGCTGAGATACTTAAAAGGATATTATAAGATGAAATAATTTCCACATGTAAACAAAAATTAAGTAACGGAAATATTTTTTTAGAAATTTTAAATACATAATCTGAGTAAATCGAAAATTAAAATGAATTAAAATACATATCGTTTAATTAAAATTAAATTGGATTATGATATTAGGTTGGCAACTATGTTCCCACCGTTTTTCTTTTTTGTAATTTTTTAAAAGTTTAAAGTGAGGGAGTATTTAATTTTCTCTGCTAGTTTCATTCTCATTTGACGTGAACTTCCGAGCATTAGTTGGTTTAATCGCTCTTCATCGAACTCAACTGGACGGCCAGAAAGAGTTGCGTTTTGTGGTCAAAATTTACAATATTAAACTTTACCAATCGCGAGTGGTTCTTTCAGTTATAGCCTCTCTCTAACGGATCCTTTAATTATAGCCCCTCTCGATGCACAGCATAAATGTCCCGAGCAGCTATCGCGACTTTAAGATCTTGATGAAAAGCAAAAAGAAAAGCTACTTTTCTTTCTCACTTGACATTTCATTTTAGTTTTCTTAAAATTAACAGGAATTCGAAAGAAAAATATAGAATCCAGTGGAATAGAATTAGTATTTACAGAATTCTCTTTCGAAAGATTTAAAAGCAAAAAAGAAAAAAAAGAAAAGAAAAAAAAATATTTAATGACATGAAAATTTTAAAATTTAAGGAAAAGATGGGAATTTAGTTGCCAACTATGATAGTTTTAAAATGAATCATATTGATGAATCCTACCTCGGATGACGTGAGATAAATGCGTGAATCAGTGCTCTCCATTGAAGCCCTAGGTAAGAGGGGAGTGCTCTCTCCCCTGGCGGCAAGGTGAGGAGGCTGCCGGGTAGATCCCGGCAAAGGAAGAGCGCTTGCCTTAGGACCAGTAGTTGTCGACCCTGCAAATCAAAACAACAGCCTATATATATAGCCCTTGATCTTTTTTTCATTTCGTGACGTAGATAAGTTATCTATTAACCGACCTTATAGACAAAACACATAACATTTCTCTCATTCAATAGAAAGATCTCCTTTTCTATGTAAGGAACTGAGATTTTCTTCTTCACATTGAAATCAGCAAAAACAAAACTCGTTATTAGAATGAGTTGAATTTCTTTTCTAGGTGCTTTTTAGGCCAATGTTTGAATTGGAAATGAAACAGTTAAATTGAAAATGAACATGAACAGTGTTGAACAGTGTAATGGAAAGAGCCACTGTTCATGTTTGAGTTGAAAATGAACAGTGGCTCTTTCTATTACGTGTGATCCGTTCCTGATTATCCGCGAGTGGATTATCCATTTTTACGGCCTGTTACCAATAGTAGAGCAAACTCTAATGTATATATAATGACGCAGCAAATGCTACTAGCATCATGTTTATAGAAGATCTTGTCTTCTTTTGTTATTCTTGTAAAATTTGTAACCACAATGTTTTGTATATGCGAGATTTCTCTACTACGATATTTTTCTCGCATGAAATTCTTCACTACGATATTTTGTTCATAAGAAATTCTTCACTACGATATTTTGCTCATAAGAAATTCTATTCTGCAATAATTTATTCCCGCGAGATTCTGTACAACAACATTTCGTAGTATCGATAGTGTTTATTGTAGTGTAAATAGTGTTTAATGGTTTTTTATTGTTTAACTTTTGTAATGTGATATTTTATTCATTCGATATTTTACGATGCGTGAGATTCCGTTTTGCAATATTTTATCTGCTTAAGATTCTTTCTGTCTTTCTTTACTTAGACTGTAAATCTAAAGTTTATTTCTTCCTTTTTTCATATTTTTGACGATGATGTTTTTGTATAAAGAGAAGAAACACAACGCCAAATTTTTAAAAAAATGTTTCAAAACTAAGAAACACTCATTAACACACATGTAATATTTGGTGGACCAATTTGCAAATCAATCTTTGAACTCACTTATCCGTAGTTGTCTCGTCACTCAAAAATAGATGATCGGAATTGCTGTATTTTTAAATTATAATTCTAATGAGTTTAATGATGTATCATACATCGGTACTCAAATTATAATCTGACGTTGTAATAGCCACCAAGAGTATTAATATTTTAGTGTATAAGCTATTTATTTATAATTTCTAATATACTTTATGGAACGCAACCTTTATCTACTTTATTATTATGTTTTTTTTAATTTTTTTAAAGAACTTCTAACAGAAATTGCTTTTAAAAATGCAAGCAAGGAATGAAATTATTTTGGATAGCGGTTTTTTAATATAAGTGAAATTACATTCCTGAAATTACTTTCTGTACACTGTTGCAAGTTAAGAAAAAAAAAACATTATTTCTGTAGAAGGAGCCTGTTTGCATCTAAGTGTACGCCAAATGGATGCTAAGCTCCTAGCGCGACTATGCATCAACATCGCCAACTCTTGAAACGACGCTGCACTGCCTGCTTTTTGCTTGCTTTCTAAAATCATGTGAAATGAGAAAAACAAAACTTATTTAACACTCAATTAGCAAGTAATAAGATTAAATGAAAATGATATCTAAAAATGGTAACAAATATACGTCTTTCTATTCGCATTAAGAAAACTGATGAAAGAATAATAAATATTGTTTCCTGCAGACGATTTTCTCCTACTGTAAAACAGAAGTAAAAATTTCTTATCTCGCATATCTGTATGTTAAGGGCATGTCAGCATAAGACGCGCTACTTTTAGTGGACCAATCAAATCCAATGCTCTTGCAACATCATATAGTTTCTTAGAGTTTCTTAGTTTCTTTTCAAAAGAACGAACGTTCTCCTTATTTATTGAAATATGTCGCCAAGTCTAGGGTTCCAGTAAAATTTCGAAACTATAATCTTTTTTTAAAAATAATTTTGTGATATATATCGTAAAAGATAGCATGAATCAAATTTCTGTATGACTGGTTTATCTTTTAAAAACTTTTAAATTGTTTTCAAAGTATATTTGTGTAATTTGATAACGAAATAAGATGGAACTATCTGCAGTCACGGATGATTACTTAAATTCTATACCGCAATGGTCTTTTCTTAACTTGCAAAGGAGTATAGTAATTGATTTTGAAATTATAGCGAAAAAATTTCACTGGTAAATTGTTACAAATTTAACGATAATAAAAATAAATCCAGTTGAATGTACGTAGTTTTTGATTACTAAAAGAAATCCAGTGATCATAAAAATGGATCTAATTATAGTGAAAATGAATCCAGTGATCATAAAAAATGGTTTTAATTATCATAAAAATGGTTTTAATTATCATAAAAATGAATCCAATGATCACAAAAATGGATCCAGTAATTCTAAAAATAAATAATTACGAAATTAAAATATTACGAAAAAACTTATTACGTCGAAATATTACACCAAAAATGAAATTCAAACACTTGTTTGTTACGATATAACTTTAAAAAAAATCTACCTAAAATGTTTTTTTGTCCTTCTCTAAGGTTTTATTTTCTTCCTTATTTTTTCAGGTTTAGATTCTCAATGCACCATATATTTTTTTTTATAAAATAAAATATCTATATTTAAACTTTAAATATATCCTATCATTAAATATTGTTGTGAGGACGGGGGAGTTATTGAAGAAAAAAAATTGTAATACTTACTAGCGTTTGCAAAAGCCCGACTTCCTTCGGGTTCGTCGAATGTTTGCAAGGCTTGCTCCTCTTTCCGAACCTCTTCAAGCTCCGTGTGCACTTCCCGCATTAGAGCGACTGACAACATCCAAATGAAAAAAGGAAGCGATGGAAAAAAAAGAAGGAAAGAAACGGCAATCAAACGACGACAGGAAATATATAGATAAATTATACATACTCATAAAATTTTATGCTTTAGGTCATGAATTCATTTTATTTATTGTCAAAGCTCGATCAGTTAACAGCTAGCTTTTCAACCTAATTTTGTGATAAAACAATTAAAAAACAATATTCTAGCAAATGATACTACTACTATTCTTAACATTTCGTTTTTATTTTAGAGGGACATTTAAAGTGAACACGTTTCAGTCTATTTTTAAAAAATCGCTCTTTGTAAGTTTTATGAAATGTTTAGCTTGATTTTGAAGCGTGTAACAATTAATTTCTATTGAGATATCCAGAAAAGTTGCATACGTAATTGTTACACAAAAAAATTGTCCTCGCATCTCAAATACCAACTTAAGACGGATAATACAGGGTGATTCTAAAAAGATGGGTAAAATTTTATGAAGTGATAGTATACACCCAAGCAAACAATTTTTTATCAAAGAATGCATGGTCGAAAACAAAACGTAAAACCGCTAGAGGGCGTCTAAGTTCATGTTCTTATATGAGGCAAAAACGCACAAAGAACGATGAAGTTAAGTTATAAAAACAAATTTAACAGCATGTGATTACAATAAGTGTTCAAAATAGTGGCCGGCAGCGGCTATGCAGTTATGCACGCAGTTCAACGGCGAAGAAAAGATAGGGCATATCGCGAACTTTCCCTGCAGCGGCCAAAAGCTTGGCGACAAGTGACGCAGCGCAGTAACTCGCAACAGGAATGGAGCTTTCACGTTTGCATCAAACAACTGTCCTAATGCGCCAGTACCTTAGCTCTTTGTTTTAGACCATGCATTCTTTGATAAAAATTGGTTGCTTGGGTGTGTACTATCACTTCCTAAAATTTTGCCCATCTTTTTAGAAACACCCTGTATAAATCGACACTAGAATGAGTTTTTGATTAACTTCAGAGAACGAAAAAATAGGAATATAAATCGGAGAAAAAGGCCAGTTATTGCTTCATTTATCAGTGTCTGATGAAAAGAAAAAAAAGAAAATATAAATCAGCACAAAGCACAGTTTCTGCTTAACTTTAGCAGTGTCTGAGAAAAAAAAACAGGAGCATAAGTTGGAGCAAGGGACAGTTTTTTTTGTTTAACTTTAGCAGTGCTTGAGAAAAAAAAAACAGGAATATTAATTTACGGAAGAGGCTGTTTCTGCTCAATTTTAGTAATATTTGAAAAAAAAAAAAAACTTTTTATGCATTAAATACAAAATTGTCAGTGAAAATGCTACACTTTCAAAAGCTGCTTAATTGATAAAAAATATCAATACCAAATGGTAAACATAAATTTTCTTTATTTTTAATTGAGGAGAGGGTCAAGATGTATTACAGATGGAAATTGCCCATATCACTGGCAAATGATCCTCTTCCCCACAGTTGTTGGTGCAACCGCTCAAAGGAACTCTCATTTGAAATGCGTCCTTTTTGGAAAACGCTTTTGGTGTGTTTGGATGCTTTCTTTGAATTGCAATCTGTCGTCCCATACATGTATTGCATATAGAATTGCATAAGATGTAATGTATTATATCCACCTTGAGTGACTCTGAAGGTAATAAAAAGATGGTAATCAACACGGAGACATACACAGAGGAGATAATCGAAATGCATTATAGTAAGGCACTGCAAAGGGCTAACCGGCAAATGACACTTTTTCGCACAGTTATTGATGCAACCGCTGCAAGGATTTTGGGTTAGAGACGCTACCTGTTGGAAAACACATTTGGTGTTGTCAACATACAACTGCAATTTCATACAATACAGACTTTTCCCCTATTTTTTTTAAACAGAATCTATTATCTCAGCGCTTATTCGTTGCAGGAATAAAAGTCATTAATAAAACGAAGTTTTTCTAGTGCTTTAAGAATGTATGGTGTTTTGTGCTGATCCAGTTTTATCCTACTCATATCATCCCCTAACATAGGCCATGCGTTCAGAAACAATAAGGTCTATGTTTAATTTTTTATAAAACTCGGGAGGTATCATCAGAGAGTTAAGAACACATAAATAACAGTAATACTCACCCACATTTTCCATGCTCTGAGTTAACAAGGCTTCGAAAGTGTGGAGGCTGTAACTTTCGGCATCGAGTCCACGTGCCAGCGCGTTTCTCAGATGCATTTCGTATTCCATGAGCAATTTACTGGTCGGGGAATTGGTAGGATTATTTAAACTCTTTCTGTTAGACATAATGCCCCGACCTTCTTTTCGTTTCTTTTCGGCTTGCTTCACATCCGAACGAGCGTGTCTCTCTTCGTCTTCTGAACTGAGGAATGGCACATCGCTGTCTTGGTTGCTGGAGCTTGGAGTTGTAGCGTAACACAAATTATCGTACAAAAGGTTATCAGAAGGTGGCGACCTTTCACGGTCCGGTATTTCTAAGCCCATTTTCTTGCCGGAAGGCTTCTTTTTAGAGCTTCCGGCTTTGCTTGATTTAGAGGCAGTCCCCTTGGAGGACGAGGCACCAGTTTTCGTGTCTTTGGTGGAGGGTTTGGAGGAGGAGCCTCCTCCACCCGAAGAGGCACCCCTTGAGCTTTTGCCACGTTGTCCGGTTTTCGGAGGAGGCTCCGGTTTCCCCGGTTTTGGTGGCGGAGTAGGTTTGAGCTTATCATCCGGTGAGTTGTGCAGCGAAGAAGTAAGCGCCTTCTTGGCTGTTGTGCTGTCCAAGCTTCCCGAGTTGGCTGCCCTGCTTGCCGTAGGTGTCGTTTTTCCACTCACATTGTCGATACTTTTGCTTTTGTTGCCTTCCCTGATTTCTTGACTGGATCTCATAATAGCACCCATTCCCATTCCGTAGTCGACACTCTTCGCATCTTCTGAGCCCCTCGATGATTGGGCGAATTTCGCTCTCGCTAACTCAGTTCTTGATAAGGTAACTGTCTCTCGCTGACCTGAAAGAAAAATATATAAATACAATCTCCTCGTTTTTATATATTTATTAAGCGAACAAATGAGCAGGAACATTTAGTTGCATTTTAGCCATGATATTGTTTGGAGAGTGCTACCGACAATGTCCACCTTCATCTATCAAAAGGTAACCTAAGATTAAATCGAGTTAGCACGTCTTATATACTCTATTGAATCGGTAGTTACGCTACAATACTCCCCCACCAGAATTTTATCAGGGATAGAATTCGATGAACAGATACCACTAGTTGCTGTATTTGCGAAAGCCCGGGAACACTGTACGAAGTTAATCGAGTTTTGAGCGTTTGTTGTGAGAGCTGCATTAAGTTCAAGGTTGCTTCTGTGGTGACTCTTGTGTTGCTGTTTGCAGTCGAGTGTATGCAGGAATCCGTTGTGCGTTAATGAGAAGCAACAGCGCGAGGAGGACGATAACGCAGTCAACTGTTCAATGTGGTCAACTGTTCAATAGCAAGTCAACTGTTCAATGTGGGCCATCCATCGAAGTGGAAGTTACATTCGATGTTGGCGAGTTCATATCACGCGCGAGTGACTAGTGTGGGGAGAGTGTTACCAACAATGTCGACCTTCATGTATCAAAAGATACCCTAAGATTGAATCGAGTTAGCATGTCTTATATATACGAGTGAATTGATGTTTAATAATCGTATTGGTAGTTACGCCACAATATAAAAGCAATTAAAGTAGATGTTTGGTGAATTAACAAATAAGAACACTACAGTAATTGTGCAAAATATTAAGTAGAATAAAATGCAAGGTGTCCCACAAAAAACTACAAAAAGAAACAAAGCTAATTTATTTTATACAGGGTATTAATTTTCCACGTTAATATCTTGTACACATTTCAACATTAGCAATATACAGGTGGTTATCAAAATAATGGAAACGCTTGAGAATAAAAGGGATATTTATGAATTCGCTTCATAAGCATTAAAATATAATCTTAGCTACCAGTTTTTTTTAAGATAAAAAGTACATATATTAGGTGGTATGAGAGAGCTTTACCTGAGTTGTCTACGTTTTGATTTCTTGTCAGAAGCGTAAAATGTCAGACCTTACAGATTTTCAGAGAGGCCAAATTGTAGGAGCCCAACTAGTTGGAGCAACAGTGACCGAAACATCCCAGCTTTTAGGAGTTTCTAGAGGTACGGTGTCTAAAGTCATGAAAGCATACACACAGCGCGGAAAGACAAGCTCAGCAAAGCAAAATAGTGGACGGAAGGAGAAGCTGAGTGAAAGAGAACGACGGGTATTGAAGCGGATCGAAATGTCTAAAAAGAAAACAACTGCAGCCAAAGTGTCCGCAGATCTCAATCAGCATCTGGATTCTCCAGTGTCAACAATTACAGTTAGGAGATACCTTCATAAAGAGAACATTTAAGGCAGAACATCTTCAAAATCTAGGGTGTTTCCATTATTTTGATAACCACCTGTATATTGCATAAATATTTGGAATATCTTCACTAAATTAAAGAAAAACCTAAGGCATAGCTTCGCAAAAATATTTCATTTGAAAATTTTAATTTTAGCAGATTTATATTATGGATAACGTTTAGTATACTAACTTGGAAAAAAAACCTTAGAGTTCGAGTATTGTTTTCTTATCTTCCTGCTGAATTAGCTGAATTTACTAAATTAAAAAAAAAACAAGTTACAGGGTGATTAGAATTAACTTGGGACCCAACACTATTTCAACGCATGGGTGTGGCAGAAGTCACATTTTTTGCCATAGATGGAGCCACCGTAAAAACAAGAACAATCGCACCCCTCTGCCTTAATGGCCGATGTGAACAACAACAAGCGTTGGGGGCGGAAAAATTATTTGGGTTTTAAACTTTATCTTAATAATTACTTGTCACCCTATATTTCCATGAAAAATGACGCTACTATGGTATAAAATTTTCAACTATACAAATAAAAGGACGAAAACCGTAAATTTGGATAAAATACCTATCGTTGATAAGTTGACGTCACTGCGAGTCTGTTTCACAGCGTTTGGAAGAGGCGTTGACCTGCGAAGTGACGTCGAAACATTATCATACACTGATTGGCTGGATGGGTGGGCGGACAGTTTCCCATATGCTCCTTCACCAGGTCGACTCTGGCTTCGAGGCAGTGTGCTGGCTGAGGTGGGAAGTGAACCTGCAGCCACAGAAGCGGCATATCGAGCACGGCCATTCCGAGCTCTTTGCATTTGTTCGATGGTCATAGCGCAGGTACATCGGGGTTCTCGTCCACTTTTTGAAGGTGAACTAGGTGTGGACTGGGGCACTCGCTTACCGGGCTTTATCTTCAGTTGCTGAAAAAGAATTAAAAACTTTGTATAAAAATTGAATCGTTTTTCAATATAGAAAGCATATCGAGAAAGGAAAACAACTAATTTTATATATATCATAACATATCGTCTCATTTTTTTAAGTCATGCCAAAGCCTAAGTACCAGAAATAGAAAATAGTTGTTTCGTAACACCATAGTAGTTTTTTTATTCGATACTTATGCTAATGAAAGATTAAAAAGATTTTATTCTCAGAAAAGGGAACGTAATTAAATCTATAAGTGCTATAGCCATTTTCCACATTCTCTGATTTGAATAATTAAAATTAAAGCTGTTTTTCGATTCCTCTACCATCACTTAAAAAAAGGATTTGAAGGGTATAATGTGCTATTTTCATAACTGTTGTGAGTTTGCAACAGTTATGCTTGACTGTTAGGTTGATTTCCAGTCAGTGCCATCTTACGAAATACCATATTACGAAAATGGCGTAAAACGTCTACATGAAGAAAAGCCACAGTTTTGTGAAAATGAAAGACGTTTGTGAACTAATTTGTTAATATTTAAAGACATACTTCAACGTTGCACTGTCTAGATGTATTAAAATTTGCAAAAATTGAGAATTATTCATTGCTTTTAATAATGTTTTATCTAGGCGGAAAAATCTCGCCAAATTGGTGATTTTTTAAGAAAAATTTGATAATTTTAAAAATATTTTAGCTATTTTTTATTCTAAAGCAGAGGCAATTATTTACTGCAGATGGTATACATATTTTAAAGTTATAGATTAGGAGCAAGTGCAAGGCACTTAAACTGTAGCTTTTTGTATTTTCCTAGCCAAAAGAGTTTCGAAAAACACTGTTAAGTTCGAATCAAATTTTCAAATTCTAATCCAAATTTTCGGAAAAGGATAATGAATCAAACAATCAGAGCAATCTAAGTAAGAGGCCATGCAGATGAAAAAAAAAACTTATAACAAAATGTGAAAACAAAAACATAATTGGAGACTTGCCTAAAGTTGTAGAGCATGCAAAAGCGGATTTAAAGTAGAGACTTGATAATTAAGGAGATCATCCTCCTTACCTTCGGAGGTTCCAGTTTCAAGGAATAGGAAGAAGAAGCCTTTCTGGAAAGCTTGAAATCCGGAGACTGCATAGCCAGAAAAAAGGGAGGAAAAGAAAAGATAGACAGCCCATTCAAATAGCAGTAAAAACAAAAAGCTTAAAATCGAATTCTTGTTATTAATGATCAGGGAAAAATAAATTGTTGAAAAGTGAAAAGCGTCACAAGGAAGTGACAAAAAAACATTTAAACATTTTAAAATTTCTATAAATGTACATTAGAAGCTGAAAGAGATCCCAGAAAAAGAAACAAAAATATCAAGATAATCAAAGCATACATTTTAACAAAAGAAAGTAAAATTGTGTCATATTTTGCGAAATTATTTTCTTTCATTCATCGAGCCTTGATGGGTTGAGTCTTTGCCTATCCCGGTTTGGGTTTGACACCCCATGCTAAAATCTGAATGGTTTGGGATCCCGTCTAATGTAATGTACCAATTGGTTTCTTTGTCAGATAAGTCCAATCACGGCTGGGAAATATGATATGAAGACCTGATAATTACTAGTACCATCTTCCCTGATTTCCAATCCAAACTTTAATGATGTATTATGCGCATGCATCATATGGATGAATCCTAGACTGTCGCCAATAACATTGTGCCTATATTATCTTTGTGATCATAAAGATGAATACCAGACTGTCACCAATAACAAGCGACAATACTGTATTTGTATCATCATAAGGATGAATCCTAGACTTCGCCCATAGCATGTGCCAATAGTGTCCTTGTGATTAAAAAGTTGAATCTCAGACAGTCGCCAGTATTGTATTTGTGTCATCATAGGGATGAATCCCAGACCTTCGCCAATGTCGGCATGTGCCAATGGTGTCTTTGTGATCACAAAGATGAGTCCGAGACTGTTGCTAAAAGCATGCTGTCTTTGTGTGAAAGTGTGTCTTATAAAGATGAATCCCCGACTGTCGCCAATATTTTATTTGGGTCATCACAAAACTGAATCCCAGAGTCCAGCAAATAGCATGCGGATGGATGATATCTATAATGGATTGTTGTATATTGTCAACATAATGATGAACGCAGACCATCGCCAACAATACACGCCAATATGGTTTTTGAGTCATCATAAAGATGAATCTCAAACCACCACTTAGCATCATGACCCAATATTGACTTTGCACCAATCATAAGCATGGATCCCAGACTGCCGTCCATTGCCAAATAGTGCGGTTCTAGTGCAATGTTAAAAATCAAATATTTCCCATTTTCACCTAAGCTTAACAAATGTTTTGTACTTAATAATGAAGAACTTAATATACGTGTGCATATTGCACTTACTCTTCTTAAACTAATATTTTCATAAAGGAAAATAATAGGCAATTTTTACACATCGTACAGCTAAATTATTCATATTCATTCAAATTCAATATTCACAGTAACTAAATTAAAGCTTAATGGTAATTGATTTATATTCAGATAATAATTGTATCTTAAAAAGGAGATTTATTCACAAATCTATATTCATAGTATCATTCCTTAAAATACACACCTATTACTTGTTGTAAATATGTTGCGAAAATTTTCACTTTACAACAGGTAATAGGCTTTATTAATTCTTATAGATTATATAATAGATCTAATTATATAATAGGACATTAAATTACATAATAGGTCTGATTAGATAATTCGATATTAAATTATATAATAGGTCTGATTAATTGATATTCTAATAAAATGCTTCCTTATACAAATAGTGTAACTTGTTGTAAGAAATTTTATTTGACTCAGACTAATTATCTCAAATTTTCTATGTCAATTGTCATTATTTCCCTAGTTTCTTAAACTATTCTCGCTTTTTTTTTATCCCAGAGTTATCCAATTTTTTAACTCAAACATGTACGACGATCAAGACTTTTTGTACGTTCATTTCGAATACATACAAAGTAGAATTTAAAGCATTTTCCTATCACTTGATTTCAAACAGAAGTACATTACATAATCACATAAATTCCGTTAAATTAAGTATCACATTACATAAAGGACAATTTATTTTGTGTTTGTATCAGGTTAGATTAAATAACTTTTTCATTAAAAAAATTCCGTTCACTTTTAATTCAAAACTTACTGCTAGTTTTTAATGGGGCTCTTTCCTAGTTTAGTATTCAAATAAATCGGTCTCAAATGAGTTAGATCAATCAGTCTTTGATAAAAATCAATCTTTCAAATACAAAAACTTAGACCAACTATGCTGTTGGGCAAAATGATGAATTCAAAATTTTCATTTTGTTTTTATCATAATTAATATAAAATTAATTAAAAAAATTAGTCAATATAAACCCAAACAAAAACATCTAAGTCTAGCATGATTTATAAATAGAATAATTATAATAATCTTAATAATAAAATTAGTTACTTTAATTCTTCCAAGTATTAAGCCCCTTAGTTAACTGAAAATTCCCTGCTATGCACTTCTTTCCCATTGAATAATATGGTTAAAACTGGAATTTTGATGTAGAAAGCTTACAGTTTAAAAATTCGGGAAAAAGGATGGGTTTATTCAAAAACTTTTAACACAAAGTAAAACTAGCCGAAATTGTAAACTGAATTATAACGGATTGCGGTATATTTTGTTGAAATAAATTTAACTTTCCGATAAACAACTGATCAATGTTAATATTCGTATAATTTATCTTAATTTTCACTAAAGAATCTATTCTGAAAATGAAAATTGAAAATATAAAAAAAGCTTGAGCATTTACTTACATAAATGCTTTTCCATGTCATTTTTTTTTCGTGATAAGGGAGCTTTTCAACTTTTGTCAGCTTTTTGTGGTTATTTTTGTTAACAAAAAGTGTCACGCAATAGACAATGAGTTAAAAATGAAATTAAGCGAACGTTTCTCCTTATATGTTTTAATTTAAAATAGTCCAAACAAGAAATCTTCTCCCAGACCATTACATTAAAACTATTTTATTGACTAACTTACAATTTATATTCAGAACGATTTGCATTTTATTTTATACGTACGTAGTTTGCTATCTTGAATTGTTACAACTTGTCAACAACAGAGTTTACGAGATTTCGAAATTCCTCAAGGTGGGTTACTGCATGTTAGTAAAATTTCAACCTTCAAAACAACAGAAAGAATTAAACGTTAAATTGTCACAATTGTGAATATTAGCAATGAGCAGAGATCTCTAAAGCAAGGACTTAAACTATAAAGCGCATCGTCTAAGGATGTTTCTAGAAGCTTTTCAGCCAATGAGAATTGAAAAGTTACTCTTTAATTTTGATTAAATTTAAACAAAACTGTAAATTTAAACTATCTATGAAATTTGTTCATAAAGAAGTATTTGGATTTCAAATAGCTTTTTAAAAAATCGCCAATTTGGCAAGATTTTTTTTCCTAGAAGAAAACTATTAAAACTAATAAATAATTATTATTTTTCCACATAAGAAATGAGCTTGAACAATGCAGCACTAAAATGCACTTTACAGATATTTTTTTCCAATATCCATCAGATTGACATTCGTCATTCAGGCATTAGAAGGGCAGATTCGTTGGCCACTCTTTCAAGGGCACCCTATTAGGTGGGGTAGCGTTGCTCCCACAATAAGGGCAGATAGTACAAATAATGAAAGAACATCCATGTCTTTTCCGGGATTTGACCCCAGGACCTTTGAAGAACTTTACAAGTACAAAAAATTAGATCAGAAATGCTTTTCATTTTCACAAAACTGTACGTATTATTTATATTTGCAATTTGTGCATTCTTCACAGATAGCTCTGGAAAAATTCGAGAAAATTTATCCTATCATAATAGTTATGACAACAATCTTACAAAAATGAAGGTACTCTGTAATTTGCATAAAAATGTTAATTCATATGACCTTAGTCAGTCCTAAAAGAGGTGCATACGAATTGGAAAACAAATTCGATCTTATGTATGCCACAAGGCACAAGTATAGGCAACAATTTAGTTCAATTAAGTTCAAGCAACAATTTATGAATTAGTAGGCCTACCTACTGACTATACGGCTATTGTCACCTGATTAATGTGATTTAAACAAGCAAGCAAAGACTTTCAAATTAAAATGAATAATATTGAGTTTAGTGTCCAAAATAAAAAACTAAACTCCACCCAGAGAAAAATCAGTTTCTGATTTTCAAGTTAAAAACTAAGGAAAAGTCACTTTTTAACTTCAAACTACTCGATGAAGAAATCGCACCAATTAAAATAGATAAATGTTACCTACAAACTATGTTGAAAATAACGCGTAAAAACTGTCATAAAAAGTCAAAGGAGTACACCTTTCCATAAAAGCCATATCATATTCAAACACGAAATTGAATCCATACTTCAAAAAGTTAATTTATCGATATTATATATATAAGATCGATTTAAGACATATTGATATTATTTTAGCTTGTTCACGTCCAATATCTTAACCACTATATTAGTGAGTCTCTGAAGAAAATTTTGGTCCAAGCCGATGGCAAAGTTCGGAGGGAAAAGATGGAGTTTTTCCACTTCTCTTTTTTAATGTTGGAAGATTATAGTAAATACAAATTGAAAGTTTACTGATGAATTAAAACAATAATTACTTTATTTTAGTAACAATGGTCATTATACAACTAAACAAACGAAAATAATTAGGATCAGACGCCTTTGATAGCGATTAAGAGTCTTTGAACATGAGTAAATCTTGATATTGGTCGGACCTAACGTCAAGAATTCAAGTGCTTGAATTTTTCCCAATGGACAGTTATTAGCATGTCAAGAGATCCATAGTTGGTGATTTATCGAAAGATAAAATAACCCAAAACAAAGTCAACTCCACGTCATTAATAATAAATTTGAAATAATTTGGCTATAGCTCAATGTCAAAAAGTTCATGAGAATTAATTATAACTGGAACATTTTTTGTGGTAAGTGAAATAATGTAACTTAAGGAACAAAGAGTTATAAATAGATAGAATAGAAGAGTTATAAATAGAAATATATTAATAAATTTTAGATTTAAATTGAATTAAAAAATTATCCGTAACATTGATTGTTAAGAAGAGAATAAAATATTTATTTTGCTTTTTATAAAATGTAATAAAAATTAAATAATTAGTTTAATTTAATTAAAATTAGATTAAGAATGATTAAAAAAATGAAATTTATGAAGTTAAAGATATTTTAGAAGCTAGGAAATATGTAATGCCTGTTGGGGCATCGCAAATGGTTGGTACAAAACCATCTCAGAATCGGAAATATTGATAACTATACAGCTAAGCTCAATGCCAACTTTTATAGAAATACTAAAAAAAAAAAAATGCACACCAAGCAATTTTTACCTATTATTGTATCGGAAATAGTTAGGGTTTACGTTATTCTCTTATCTAGACACTTAGCTCTGAAAGTTGTAATCACTCATTAATACCCTAATTTCACGCACATCGTACATTGTTTATTTTAATTTAAATATTGTTAACGCGTCATTTGTTCGTTCTATCTCGCTTAAATTTGTCTTTTCATCTACGCCAATTTATGGTATATACACTGGTGGACAAAATTAAAAGATGTAAAGCATTTTCGCACATTCATTCGCGCGTGCAAGATACCCGCACACCGCTCCATGTGTTTGACAATGGTTCCGTGAATGCCCAGAGGTACAGGCAGGAGGTCCTAGAGCCCTATGTGGGTCTTTTCAGGGGCGCTGTTGTTCCTGAGTTCATTTTTATGGACGACAATGCGCGACCACATAGGGCTCTCATGGTTGATGAGTATCTGGAAAGCGAGGATATTCAACGAATGGATTGGCCAGCCAAATCCCCTGACCTGAATCCTATTGAACATGCTTGGGATGCTCTTGGGAGAGCTATTGCGATGCGCCAACCTCCCCCCAGAACCATTCTGGAGTTAAAAATTGCTCTGGTGGAAGAATGGGAGGGTCTTCCACAAGTCCTCCTTAACTCCCTTATTAACAGCATGCATACTCGTTGTGCATGCTGTCTGTCTGTCAGGGGTGACCATACACCATACTAGAGGCAACACACACTGTACAAGCCTCACTTTTATTGTCATCTTTTATCCTTAAGTTCAGACTACATTGGATTTACTGGCAATAGGTCTTGCTAGTGAATGGCACTTTCATTTTTGTTTTGCATACTTTATTATCATGGAATAAGCTATAACCATACCAAATTTCATTTATTTATATTCAGTATTTTTTGAGATATTTGGGAAAATGTCTTCCATCTCTTACTTTTGTCCACCAGTGCATTTTACGTAGTTTCAACCTTTTGTATGCAAACCAATTTCAATTACCTCATCAATGTTTCTAAATTGACTTATGACTAGTACCAACGTTCAACTCTTTAAAAATGTTTTTTTAATTACTACTTATTATTTATTTTGTTATTCTTATGACAACAAAATCAGAAGGATTGGTCATTGTAATTTCAGCAGATTTTGCCTTTATATTGGTTTGGTTAACAAGCAAAATAATTCAGATGAGTTCTTCCGAAAGAATAACAAACACCTGTTCCATGTTTATTTAAATTTAAAAAAAATAATTCGATCAAGAATAAAAAAGATAAATAGCACAAAAAAGTTTATAATAAAGGGATTCTCAGATTTCGTTTTTAAATTATCTTTAAATGATATTTAAAAATTGAAGAGTAAGTTAAATTTGAAAATATCAAAAATATTTAATTATAATTTATTAAATATATTGCCAATTTTTAGTCAATAACACATTAGAAAAGCACGAAGTGCTAATTTAATATTTTAGAAAGGTTTTTTTAATTATTATTATCAATCTGAAACTGGATATATTTTTAAGGTTTTAATCATAAGTAATAAACAAAGCAGAAAGCGTTGATTTAATACGCTTCAAAGTTCTGGAAAGAATCTGGATACATTTGGTTCAAAGAATCTGGATGCATTTTTAAGGTTTTTATTATACAATACTGCTCAGAAAAGCTCAAAGAGTTGATTTAATATTTTTAAAAGTTTTTTTAATGAATTTGAATTCACTTTTAAAGTTTTAATAAGACTATGAATAACTCAGTGGTGATAATAAAATAATGTTACAATAATTGAGAAGTATTGTAACAATAAAGTTGTAAAAATGTTTACTAATACTATCATAATTAAAGTTCGATAGTATTTTAGTAATTACGTTATAGTGGTGTGGTAAATATTAAGTTATAAGAATAATAATTAAGTTGTAATAATGTAATAATATTAGACCCATTAAAATTTAATTTTGGTAAAATAATCAAGCTCTAATCATTTTGATTTATAATTTTTCATACAATTTGCCCTTATTTCCGACATTTTGTAAGAAAGATAAACAATACTTATTACAGGAATATAATTTTATTGAATACACGAATGCTAAACTTTATTATATTTTATGAGTTCTACGAAAGATTAAAATAAAAACAAAAATTGAGTTTCATACTTACACAGCAGTCTCGAAACTGTTTGGCATCGACTGGCGAGGTAAAATTCAATCCCCAGGTATCTCCAGACGTAGGATCTTTCCAATAAACAAAACATTCGGAGGCCTGACCTAATCTTGTACCTATAAGTAAAAAAGAATAATTCGTAAAATTTTGTTAGCAAATATTAATAAGACGTTATATGGATTATTCACAGATAAATCCGATTTAAACTACGAATGTCATAATGGCAAGGAAAAATATAGTATTGTTCTTTCTTTCGATGCAAATGATCTGTATTTGAGGAGAAAAAAGGAGTAAACCTATCTGCGCTATGTACAATGCTCAAAATAAAATACGGATCACCCTGAATAACTTTTGATTCGAATGATCGGATTTTCACGTTCTAAGACTCCATCTTAAAGGTTCGAGGGGATTACTTCATATATGCTAATTAATTAGTACCACTGATGATTTAAGTCACGAAATCAGGCAGAAAACGTACCTTATCTTCCTTAAAAAATACCTTTTTTCGAGTGATGCGGATTTCTGACCCAAAAATATAGGGAGCAGCCGCAATTTACGAAACAGGGTCCTCATGGAGAGAGGTCCAAAGTGTGGACACCTTGATATTTATTTTATTTTTTTGCGCAATTTCACCCTATCTCGAAATCATTTTTAGGGAATTCCAAAGTGTTTACGCACAGTTAAAAATTAGTTTGTTCAAATATAATTCCAGGCAAAATATAACTTTTAGATGATATTAATTATTTGTTGTTATTTATGTAAAAATTGCGGAAAAAATTTGAATTGAAAGGCGTACATTTTCTAACATTATTTTAAAGAATACAATTTAACATGTCAACATACAAAATTTGAGTGAATTGGGTCAAATAGTTTTTCAGAAATCGTCATTATTTGACCGATTTCGCTCAAATTTCGCATTTTGCCATGTAAAGTTGCATTCCTCAAAATTATGTAAAAAAATTTTAAAAACTTACAATTCAAAATATTTTCGACTATTATGAAATAAAATAATAAAAAAATAATAAATATTTGTTAAAAGCTATTTTTTGGATTGTACTCGGATAACTGAATTTTATAATGCTGTTCAAAATTTTTTCAATTCGCTTAAAATAAGACGGAATACGAAAAAAATAAAATTAACACTAAAGTGTCAAAACTTTGGATCGGTCTCCTGATCATACTGTGTCGATCATATTCCCTATAATTTGGGGGGGGGGGGGGGATATTTAAGAATTGGAATGAATTGAAAAAAAAAGGTTTATCCAGAGAAAGTTCGGTTTTGTCTCTAATTTCTGAAATTAAAATAACGTCTGCACTAATTAATTAGCCTATCTGAGGCCACCCTCTCAAACTACTTAAAGGGAGTCTTAGAACAGGAAGATCCTATCATTAGATCAAAAGATATTCAGGGGGGAGGGGGTCCTTTTTTTATGTTTCGCTCCGCACATTGTGTAAAAGATAAATAAATAAATAAATAAAGAAAGAATGGAACACACTTCTTGATAAGATTTTCACTTACTAAGACTAAGTAGTAACGCTGTCTAAGACTCAAGAGAGCAGTTGAAAGTTAAGACCCCTGAATGGAAATTTTACTTTCTGCTCTTTTCGCCAAACCTCGAGAACCATTTAAGCGAATCTAAAAATGTTGCATACAGCTCAAAAAGTCTTTATCTAAAAATAATTCCGAGCAAAAAAATTTTTTAATAATTGTTTATACTTTTTTTAAAATTTAAATTGAAAAATAGAAGAAGTAAGTCATGCAATTTCCCCCCTCCTTTTAAATGATGTGATTTTAATTAATAAAATACAAAATCGGAGCTCGTTGGGTCGACTGGTTTTGAAAAAAATCACACATTTCAAATTTAATTCCTTATGAACTGTATTCAACCCATATCGTTCACATTTTGTCTTCTATAATTAAAGACTTTATAGCTGACGAAAAAATTTGTATACTTTAATAATTAAAATTTTTCGACTATTTTGAAACAAAATAATAAATAACAAGCAAAATAATTTTTTTGCATTAAATTGTCTTTGGATTTCATAATTTTTTTTAAAATTTTATGCAAAAATGTTTGATTCAGTTATATAGTTTTTGAAAGACAGTGAAATACGTAAAAACTAAAATTAACATTAATGGGTTCAATTCGAACTTTTAACTGCTTTCCTGGCCGGATTCTAATTTTAGATTATATCTATTGTTATAAACATATTTAAGGTGACTCACTCATATCATTATGATAAAGTTTCAGTAAGAGGAAATCCACTTATTAGTTCAAAAGTTATTCAGAAAATTTCTTTTATTTATTTATTTGTTTTTGTTTTACAATAAAAAAGGGGGGAGGGGGAACACTTAAGTGATTAGTTTGTGTGAGGTGTAAAGGAATGAAATAAGAATTTTTTTTTTACCAGGATAAAAATCAGGTTTTTATGCAACTTGACTCATAATTGCTAATATTATTCGAATGAGAACTTTAAAACTTTTTTATTGATATAAATGCCAATGCCAAGGGGAAGGAATATCTTTTTTTTTAATTTTTAGAGAATGTTTTTCTAGAGTTTCATTATTTTTAAGATTTCGAAAAAGGCTTACATTTAAATAAACGAGACATTTTCTCCAACTCCTTGCATGAGAAACTTCATAGATATTATAATTAGCAAATGGATCGGTGCAATTTTTAATGACGCTCTAATTACAAGCAATATACATTTTGGTATATTTTAATTATAAAAAAAACAGTCCAATGGTTATTAAAAATCTGTTAGATTATCGGAATTACAGTTGCACTAAAATATAAAATCAAAAAAAGTAGTTTGAAATTTTTTCTTCATTCCTATTCAAAAATGTATCAATAATTAATTTTGAAAGTTAAATAAATTTCAGTGAGGAACAACTGTTTCTCTTAGACGTAAATGACTGCTAATAAGTGTAAAGGTGGAAAATTATTGTTCGGAGGTGAGCCGTGTTTGGAAGATTTTACCTTTAACGCAGAAAAAGACATCGGTGGCGTTTCATGCGGTATTTCATAATCATAAAATATTAAAATGCTAAATATAATATTTTTCACTTATTTTCACAAAAATTCATACAAAATAATGAAATAAAATAGGAAAAATATGTTTAATAAAAATTCTGCTTCAAAGGGTTCACCGGGATAGCTTTACGGTGTTTCAACAAAATCGCACACACGTATTTTAAATAAATTCACGAAATTGCCTACTTGTGTGAGGTTTACAGAATTAAACGCTATTTTTTTATTCATCATCCTCATCACAGTTAGTCAGACAGCCCAATGAGGGCCAATGTCTTCCTTATGAAGATTTCTCCGTAACGACTTCCAATTTTTCTTTGATCTCCAATTCTTTTCTTTAATTGCAAGAAAAGCAGACTCTACCGAATCAGGCCATTTCAATCGCAGCCTTCCCCCACTTTCTTGTTCCAGTGGGCCTAAAAAACAATATCTTTCTTATTGTGCATTACTCATTCGAATCACGTAGGCCGTCCAAGTCATTCTATTCATTTTCATGTATTTAATAATATCATGTTGTTTATAAATCTTGTACAGTTGAAAGTTAAACCTCCTTCTCCAGTTATTATTTTATTTTACACCACCCAGTATACTCCGCAAAATCTTTCTCTCAAATGTTGCGATACTATTTTTCTTCAGTTTTGTCTTTTTTTTTATTAGTACCATCGAAACTGCCAACAAAAACATTTTTCTGTTTTTTTAATTTGTTCTACTGGTAGGTGTTCCTACATACCTATCGCACATACAAGACTTGGGGGGAAAAAGGAAAGGTTTTTTTCCCGGGGAAGAAAGCATGCTCTCTGACAATTTTCCATTTCATTTAAATCGAAAAACCGGGATTAAGGGTAAGAAAGGATGCACACATTATTGCAGACACATCCAAAGGGGGCTTCTCGTGTTTAATTCATGATTCCGACCTCCCTTTCTTTGATGGAAAAGGAAAAAGGGCAGGATTCCTTCAGAATACATGAATGGCAAATAAGTCTTAAGTATTCCGGAAGAGGGTAAAAAGAGAACAAAAAAAAAAAAAAAAGAATCCTGGGCGTTTGGTATGTAGGAAGGATGATACGGTGGAAATTGAATCCTTTTTAGCAGCTTTAGATTTCTCGATCCTGTACTCTGGACACCTAAAATACTTAGTTAGATGGAAACTTTATCATACCGATTAGATTCTTTAAGATATGCAAATTTTACGATTCGAAATTCGTTTCTTTCGATTTAAATACTAATTTAATCTAAGATGTAATATTCCATCAGATATTTGGATTTTCGGTTCACTTTAAATTTTTTCAGTCTTAATGATGGGGTGATTTTGGTTTTTATTAATGGAGCAAATAAGTTTTTGAATGAAAAGAACAATATGAGTTCAACTGGATTTCAATTGCCAAAGATTAAAGTCACGGCAATTATAATACACAACTGTAATTATTATTTTGGTGACACATATAAACCATCTCATTCTTATTGCTGAATTGATCTTGATGTTAAAGATTTTCAGTGGTTATCCCGTCAACCACTTTCGCCAACACTGCATATATCTTCCAAATTTATTTCAACAAGGAATGAACCATGAAGAAATAGACAAAATGTAAATAAAATTTTTGTATGCAAAAAAAAACAAGAAAATATTTAAATCTGCACCACATCCAAATTTATTTTCAGATTTGGCAAAAATGGTCGACGGGATAATACGTAAGTTTCGCTTAAATAAAGTGAAACAACGCTTTGATAGATTTCTATAGGAAAAAATTAAAGTGACACTCATTATAATACACAACTTTTAGTTGTCGGCTTGGTGACGAATGCAAATCACCACAAAAGTATTTAGACAGTATTCTCAGTCTTATGGATGAATTAATCTCGGTGTTTTTAAATTTGTAAATAAGTTTCTGAGTGGGTTAAAAAAGTGCAGCATGATTTTCATAAATTTGTATAGGCAAAGAAAATAAAGATGACTTCAATTATAATACGCAGCTTTCAGTTGCTGGTTTGTTGTCAACCATCACAAAGGTATTTGGTTAGTATTTAGTTTTATTGATTCATTAATCTTGTTGTTGCTAAATTTGAAAATAAATTAAGCTGTTTGA